CGTCCTCCGCGCCCTCAGGGGCCCCCAGGTCTACGCGAGGCCAGCCGGGCTTGGAACCACAGCGGGCCAAAAATGGGCTGCCAGCCACGCGTCCTGGATGGACACTACTCTGAAATGGACACTACCTCGGGGGAACTGTAAGCAGCTTTCAAAAGATGGGCCCGCGGCATCTGCGCAGCGAGACCACCCCAAAGGCAACCCAGGTTCCCTCCCACGCGGGCCGCCTGCGAGGACTGCCGGTGAGGACGCCCCGATGGCCAGTGGGCAGGAAGGGGAGCAAGGCCCCGAGTCAGGGGGGCCGCAGCCTCTCACGGGTGCTGGCTTCTGTGGCCTCCCGGCTGCCATCCTTAAGTCTAGTCCCTTTGAGAGTGTAGGCTGCTCTTCAGACTACTTTGCATTTCTTTGGCAGTTCTGTTGGTGAAAGTTAGGGGTTCACACCCAACTAGGAAGGACTAAGGTTTTGCTATGGAGCAGGTGTAACGCCTGGCTGGGCCCCTCGGGGTGGGATCCCACACGTTGAATTTGGGGGGCAGAGACTGCACTTCTAACACTGTGTCCAGAGTGATGCTGACCCAGGGCATACACTTGGGGTACTGAAAGGGTCACGTCGGGTAGGCGCACAACTGGCCTGACAATTCCTAGCAAATCTTTCCAGCTAATATTTGTCGGGGCAGGCAGGCCAGGGCCAAAGACGGGCCGGGTGGTCTTTGGGTTCCCTGGATGCTGACCCCTGCCTTGGGTTGTCTGGATGACCAGAAAGGCTGCCTGAGCCTTCCACCCAGGCTGCCTGAACCCCCTCCCTGTGTGTGTGTTTTTGGGGGGCGGGTAGAGCAGGCCAAGGCCAGGCTGCATGAAGATAGCCCCGCCCTGCTGTGTTCCACTTGGGCACAAGGATAGAAGCAGCCTCTGGCAGGAAAGTCACCTCCTGTACCTAAGCAGCCCCTCCACTGGGCAAGGGCCTCACCCCGTCTTCAGCAGCCCTCAGTGGTTAGATGTGACCAGCTCAGGGCTCCCTGGCCTGCTCACTGCCCGTGGTGTGTGTGTGTGTGTGTGTGTGTGTGTGTGTGTGGCTTCGTTGGGAGGGGATGTACTCTGGGATCCTCAACACACCCCAGATGCGCACAGAGAGATGAGCACCCCCCAGGAGGTAAAGCCAGAGCAGGGCTCAGGACCATGCCACCCGCCGCTTCATCAGCAGGGGGAGAGGTGGGGTCCCATCTTGCCACCACAGCTGGTTACTGTAGAGCCTGAAGTCTGAACTGTGCTGGCCCACAGCCTAGAAGCCGCCACTCCCCCCCATGGTCTGCAGGCCTCCGCTCCTATAGCTGGCTTCACCTCACTGGACTTCTACTCTGGCCTTTGGCCTGTGGGGAACTTGGGGCTCCATTGTCCCCAAGTCCTGCCAGGGCAGGGAGGCCTCTCAGACCACTTGGAAAGGGAGAGGCACCACTTGACATTCCTGAGCTGCCTTGGGGCCACTGCCAGGGTGTTGGGTTTGGGGGGGAATGGGGGGGGGTAGCTAGCCCCAAGGCAAGGGTGGAGCGGGCCAGCTGGAGTCCATTTGTGTGTGGGGGGAACCCTCAAACCACTCCTGTGCAGCCAGCCCCAGTCCCCGAGGGGTTTCTGTCAGGCGGCTGCCACAGCCCCCAGCAGGGCACACTGATCTCCACCCTCATTGGAGCAGCCAGCTGCTGCTGGGGCCCCTGGGAAGCTTGTGCTGGCCAGTGGGGCTGGGAAGGGGGCCAGAGGGTGAGTTTAGGCCTTCGGAAGAGCAGTCGGGGGCCAGGTCTTTGTTCTGCAGAGCACACAAAGCAGACCCCAGCGGAGCTTCCTGATTTGACTTTGAGCTCAAGCTGAAACTCACCACGCCCTGAGCCTGGTTGGTAGGTCCCCAGCCGCCAAGAGTGATTCTAGCCTGTCCCCAAAGGCGTCTGTAGGGTGGCCCCAGGCAGCTCCCCAGTGCCCCTGAGCAAAAGGAGGCGGAGCACAGACGGCCAGAAGCATGTGAAGATACTCAGCTTCAATTATCTGAGGAAGGCAAGGCAAACCGCAATGAGGTAGCAGTCCGCAGCCATTAGGATGGCTGGTATGAAAATAAAAACAGGAAAACAGCAACAACAAACAGAGGAAAGTACTGTCGGGAGGAAAAATGTTCCATCTAGCTTTTTAGGTCTCTACCAGGTCCAACAAAATCAATCTAAGACAGATTAACAGGAGAAAAAGCCAGGAGACCCAGGGGAGCTGAGCTCGGACGCTCCCACACTCTTCTGAGCTTCGGAAGGGGGACGGAGATGTGGGGCTTGGGAGGAGCCCGAACCCTCAACCCCTCAGAAAGCAGCTGTGTGGCCATTGCACGTTTGGCCTGCCCTGCAGAGAGGGCATCAGATCCAAGTTGTCTGTGGCTGTGAGCTCTTCTGGGCCAGCCCCTGTGGAAATTCTTTAGGTAATTAAGGGAGAGCTCAAGTTTGTCTTGAGTCCAGCTGGATCTTGGTTGCCTTCAGCTCAAAATAATCCTCATACCAACATGGCATACTTTGGGGTGACCTGTTCTGAACCCCTTCAATAACAAGTGTAGAAGGATGGAAGCCTCCTGTGCTGTCGGGGGGCTGTAACGTGGCGTGACTACTGTGGAGGATGCTTCGGGGGTGCCTCTGAGCGTTAAAATAGAAGGACTGGCGGGCCTGGGCCCCCAGCTCTTGGCAGGCAGCTGGGAGAGCTATTTCACACCCTGGTCATAGTAGCGTTTCCAACAATAGCCAAGAGGTTACATTCTTTAAAGAGTGAGTAAACAGAGCGTGGTCAGTGCTGCCTGTGGAATATCCGTGGAATATCCGTGGAATATTATTCAGCCTTAAAAAGGAAGGGAAGACTTACACCCGCGACCTCATGGGTCAGCCTGATGCTGAGGGAAATAAGCCTGTCACAGAAAGGCAGACATTGGGCTTGCATGTAAGGTGGTCAGATTCTCAGGTGGAAAGTAAAATGGGGAGGCTGGGGTGTGGGGGTGGGGATCTTGGCAGGGAGGGGGGTGCCACCTAATGGGCATTGTTTCAGACTGACAGGATGTGAGGTTCCAGAGATGTTCCAGAAGAGCATGGATCTGCTCACCAGTACCTACACTTAACCATGGTTACGATGGTATTTAATGTTTTTACCAGGATAAAAAAAAAAATGGTGTAAGAAGCAAAGCATAGGGGCAAAACTGAACCCAAACAAACCCTAAAAATCTGACTGTAGCCCTGAGGCTCCCTGAGAGGGCGTAAAGGGAGGGGGGATCCGAATGCCAGCAGTGGAAGACTATGGGGCTTTGGTGGTGGGTGTGGTGTGGTGTGGTGACACACATCTGGAGAGGTGGGGATCTGTACCCATAAATTGTGTACCGTGTCATAAACCACATCCTCAAAAAAAAAAAAAAAACAATTAAAAAACAACTGCGGGTCCACAGAATTTCTATGTTGTGCCTGGGGAGACTGCACCCCTCCCCTCACACCTTGTCCCGGCCTCTCCTCCATTTGACTGTCCCTGAGTTGTAGCCTCTATAAGATATTAGTAACACATAATAAAATGCTTGGAATGAAAAAAATGGGGGTTGGGTGCTGGAAATGCCATTTCGCCCAATTGTTCCAACTTACAGATGAGAAAACTGAGGCCCAGTGAGGTGCTTCTTGCTGGGACCAGCAGCAAACCAGCCTTGGCAGATGGTCAGCTGAGGGGGCAAGAGGCCACTGCGGAGCTGGGGTTGGCCTCAGGGAACAGCCTGTGTGCCGGCTTTAACCCAAGAGGGTTGAAACAGTCCCAGGTGTGCGGGGAATGAGGGACCTGAGTGGCTTATCGAGAAAATTCAGTTAAGAGGAAGAAGGCTGTGTGGCTGACGACAACAAACCCTCCCCTCTGCTCTCCGAGAGCGAGTTCCACAGAGCGTCTCTCCCCCGGCCAAGCCTGCAGAGCAGGGGGCGCACTGGGGGGCATGGGAAGTGTGGGTCCTGGCCTGCCTGCACCTCCACCCCTCCAGGGAACAGGGAAGCCCCAGGCGCAGGCGAGTCTCTAGCAGGAGGGGTCCTGCTGCTCTCGGGCTCATTCATCCCTGTCCTGTGACCAGCAGTCCTCTGCGTGACTGCTGGGGCCTCAGTTGATTCATCTGCAAAATGGGGGTGGGGGAGGTGCCTCAGAGGGCTGCTGTGAGCATTAAGTGAATTTCAGCCAAAGGGCTTGGAAGCGACCCTGGGCACACACAGGCCTCAGATTCCAGCTCAGATCGAGTTTCTGTTGGGCAGCAGCGGGGCCAGCGTGTTCCTCAGTGCCACATGTACCCCCGAGGTACCTCAGCTCTTGTCTGCTCACGATGCCCTACCAGGGCCTGACTTGAGACGTCACCTGGTGTCCCCCGTCTGGTGTTGCCGACTCAGGGGCACGGTGGCTGGAGGCAGGGACAGGCCTTCAGCCTCCCCTGTCCCCCAGCTGACCACAGATTGACACAGAGTAGGACTGAGAGACTGTGGTGCAGGAGAGGATGTTGGGGTCCCCCCGTAACGTGGCTTCGTACATCTTCAGCCCTCGTCGCCTTCCCTGCCTCCTCCATCTGACACCCAGCCCGTCCCCACCGGGAGTCTCAGCTCCAGCACAGGCACCCCCCAGCACCAGAGACTGTTGAGCACCTGGGGTCCCCACATTTGCTGAGTGAAGGGACGTCTGCGACAGGAGGTCTTAAGCTGTGAATATCCGAGGGGCTGGGGGTAGAGCGAGGGGAATTAAATCACAGCTGGAACAGGGTGGGTGTGGGGAGACGGGAAGGTGTAACTGAGAGTCAGAAGACCAAGAAGGAAGACTGGAGAGGGTGATGGGGGGAAGGACCTTGACCTGGAGTGCTGGCCAGCAGCCCACAGCTGAGTGGCCCGAGGTTCCAGCCAATAGGGAAGTCCCCTGAGGCACCACCAGCCCCAGGAGAGCACTACCCAGAAACTGCTATGCCCCAGCCTGCCCACTGGCGGTGGGGGGGACAGCCCCTGGCCAAGGTCCACCCCTCCTAGATGGGGAGGGGTCACAGAACACTTCAGAAGAGGACCTCTTCCACCTGACTAATGATCCTTGCCAGATCCCGTCTAAGTCCAGGGCTGGACAAGCCGGGCCACCAGTCCTGACCTGTGCTGCTCAGACATCACTAATCAATCCTGCCATAGGCGTGTGGCTGGCAGACATCACCAGTCAATCCTGACGTGCCAGGCAGCCGCCAAGCTTTGACTCTGAGTTCCAGGGTTCCCTTAGTCCCACACAGTGGGAGTGGAGGGGCGTCGGCCCAAGGTCCCTGAGGGGCAGCAGCAGTCAGCCTCGGCATTCTCCAGCCTGACAGCAGACCCCTTTCCCCAGGGGGAGGAAGCCAGGGTCACCCCCCACAAACCCAGAGCACCACGCAATACTCAGGATGACGCCGGGGTGCTCCCTACAGCAATCCCTTCAGGATTTGGGCTTAATCCCAAGCACGAGGGCGGGCACGGAAAGGATTTGGTTTCGTTCGTTCAGATGCCCAAGCCTTGGCCCCGGCCCCAGGACGCGGGAGTGAAGGCGCGTGGCCGCCCAGCCTACCAGCAAAGTCTCCTTTTATTAAATAGAGATCGCGTTGCATTCTACTCAAAGGAGGAAATCGGAGGTGGTGAGCGATGTGTCCAGGCTGGGCCCCAGTCTCCAGTGAGTGTGAGGGTGAGGAGGGGTCCAGGTCCTGCCTGCCTCACCCCGGTTCTGTGTCTGGGGCTTGGCAGACAGAGCCCCCGATGTCCAAGTGATCACCCACAGCTGAGAACAGGCGTCCAGAGGCCCCATCTGGGTCTTAATGCTGGAGCAAAGTGTCCTCCTCCTTCCAGAAGGGTTGGGGGTGCGGCCTCGAGGAGCACTGGGCTCAGATGGGCGAGGGAGGGGAAAGGGACCCTGATCCTTCTTGAGAATGTTCTGGGTGGCTCTACGCAGACACAGGTTGGTGTGGAGGAAGGCCCCGGAGCCTGCTGCCCAATGGGGAGGTAACCTGGGAACAGGATGTAGAACGGCCACAACGGGGTGCTGACGGCCCAGGGCTTGGGAACTGGGGTTGGGGCTTCCCTGGGGATCTGGCTACCAAGAACGCTCCCTTTCTGAGGATCCACAGCAACAAGGCACCTACAGGCAGCTCCAGGAAGGGGGGCGGGTGCTGGCTGCCTCACGGTCCCCCCAAGGGCTGAGCCCTGCGTGCGGCTCCACATTCTCGGTCTCTGGTGCTTCTTGGAAGTCTCCTGGCGGCTCCTAGTACCCCAGGGAAGAGTCGCCGCACGAGGTTCTGTGCGTCTTAGGATGGATGCCGGGGGACGGCTCAGCGCAGCCTCCCTGGCCGAGCCAGCTGTCCAGCGTCAGGCTCCGGGCGGCTCCAGGACCCCGTCGTCTTTCTGTGCGTCCGTCCTGGGCAGGTGTTGGCTCTGGCTCAGAGCCCCAGCCCGGCCTGGGCCGTGTCCTAGGCCTCCTGAGGGAAGAAGCCGAGTTTGGCCAGCGACATCTCCTTCCTCAGCCTGGTGATCTCCCAGAACATCAGCTCCGCTGCAGGCGAGAGAGGGTGGACAGCTCAGGGCCAGCTGAGGGTCCCCTCCGGCAGACGGCCTGGCCCCCTCGCCTAGCTTGGGACAGGGGACCTGGCACAGGCCCCCAGGGCTCCCCTGGCCCCCAGGACAGATGACCTCAGTTCAGAGTCCACACTGATTCTGGAGAATATTCGTCAGGGAACAAAGTCTGGTGGAGGAGCCTCGCGAATGGGGGGAGGGACCAACAGGTGGGCAAAGGGTGCCGTGGTGGCCGGCCACACTTGTGCAGGCAACCATGAAGCGGCCAACAGGGAAAGGCAGGGATTCAAGGGGAGGCCCCACGACGCAGAGCCTGAAGGCCAGGACAGTGCCAGCGAGCTGTCCTGCCAGGCCTTGCGGGCTGGAAGAGGATTCTGGCAAGAGGAAGCGGTCAGAGCCAGGCAGGCGGGAGCCGGGGCTGGGGGCCCCCCCGCGAGGCAGGGCCGCTGAACTTGGCCCAGAAACCAGAGCGCCCTCCGGGCCCGCCCGGCGCCACCCCACCGGCCGCCAGGGGGCGCTCACCGTCCTGCCGCACCAGGCCTTGCTGGATGTAGCGGATGTAGGTGAAGAAGTTGCACACGGCGGTGATCTGTGGGCAGAATGGGCAGGCTGGGGCCGCCTGACGCGACCCTGGGGGACCCCGCCAAGCCAGGCACCGGGGGCGGGGGGGAAGCCTCGCGTGGGTCACAGCCAGGGACCAGGCCACACGGCATGACGGACTCACCCGGGCCCGGGAGGACGGCGAGATGTAGTAGAGGCTCTCCGAGTCCCCCAGCCGGAGGCGGTGGCGGCAGGCCCGGGCCAGCCCACTCAGCGCGCAGGTGCTGGGGAGAGCAGGGGACGGCGCTGGGCTCGCCCACCCGCGGCCAGGAGGCCCAGGGGGCGGCAGACGCGCGGGGCTGGGCGCCGGGCGCAAGCCGGTGGCTCCCTCTCCGCGCCAGCCCTCGCGGGGCCCAGGGTGGACGGGGCAGGCAGGATGGGCGCAGGGGCACCAGGCTTACTTGGTGCTGCTACACTCGACTGCCGGCACCTTCACCGCGGGCAGCGCTTGCGAGGCCACGGGCTCGATGGTGAGCGTGTTGTCCTCCACGGCGGCCCGGACCAGCGTGGAGAGCTGCGGCAGACCAGGGCGTGGGCGTGGGGCTGAGGGGCAGGCCTCCAGCTGAGGGGCGGCTCCCCGGGGCTGTCTTCAGCCCGCTCACCTCTTGCATGGTGAAGTCCAGGCAGGGCCCCACGTCCTCCCGGTACACCCTGCCCAGGAAGGGGGAGCTCTTGTCCAGGGTGGGTGATTCCCGCCAGGCCTGGAACTCTGCAAACAGAGTGGTGTCCACCTGTGAAGGAGGGTAGGGGTGGTCAGAGCCCTGAGGCTCGCACAGTGCGGCCAGGGGAGCCCAAGGGGGCGGGGAGCCAGGGAGGATGCACAGCAGGCCCCAGCATGCCAGTGGTCTGTCCCCAGTGGCCAGCCCACGCAGGCACAGGAACCGGGGAAAGCAGGGGGCGGGCACTGGTGCTCTCCCACCAGCGGGTGAGACAGGATCCAGGCATGGCTGAGTCCCCAAAAACTCCCTCCCTCCCCCGGCACCAGAGAATCTAGAAGTCAGAGTGTCAGTTTGAGCATGTCAGTGGCACTGGGCCACATCCTGATGCCCTCGCCATGTCCTTGGAGAGTGTCTCTGTAGGTACCCCCAGCCACAGGGCGTGCGCACAGGTGCACGCAGGCCACACAGGTGCACGCAGGCCCCCAGACACACAGCACCCGCCGGGAGGGGGCGCACCCCCAGCTGCCTGCTCCCCAGAGCAGCTCCCGGCTGCACATGCAGAGTGAGGGCGGCTGGAAGGGGCAGCCGTTACCTGTCGGGAAAAGGAGAGAGAGGTAGCAGAGGTGGGGGCTGCGGGTGGCTCCCTGGGCGGGAGCTGCCAGGCCGGCTCATAGGTGAGGTGAACCGCCTTGCTGGGGATCACACACAGGAGCAGGGAGAGGAGGGGGGCCAGCCCGGGCTGGCAGGCGGACCGGCGGCAGGTGGGCGCAGACAGACAGGAGGAAGGAGAGGTTAGAGTCCTGTCGGAAGGCTTCAGCTCAGAGCGGGCCCAGAGGTCTGGCTGCACCTCCTGCCCAGAGGCCTGGAGAAGCAGGGCAGGCCGGAGCTGGGGCCACCCTGGAGGCAGAGCTGCCCAGGGCTGGGCACCGTGGCATTCACTGCCGCCCTGAGCCGAGCTCAGGCATCTGCGTCCCGTCAGTTCCTCGTGTGGCCCCAGGAGGCCCCATCTACCACGTGGGGAAACTGAGATGCTGGGGGCGGCCTCGCGTGCCCAAGGCCATCACAGCCCACTGGCCAGTGAAGCCCAGGTGCGCCACACGCCCAACCAAAGGGAGAAGGAGACGACCCCAAATGCCACGTACTCTTGGCACTCAGCCAGAGGATGCTGGGGACCCTCAAGTCCAGATTATGACCCTGAAGATGTAAAACCTAGTCTCAGTCCTGGGGGTAGGGTGTGGCCACAGGGTCTGGGCAGCTTCTCCCGGGATCCCAGCAGCAGCCTCTTCAGGCCTGAGGGGCGTGTCTCTGCAGACCCCAGGGGCAGGGCCTGGGTGTGGACACCACCACCGGCAGCTGGGAGGGTGAGGTGGCGGCCAGACCCCTATCACAGACCCTGTCCAGCCCTCACAGCCGGGGCCCCAGAGAGGCCCCAGCTCACAGCCAGGGCCGGGCCTGGTCCCCGCGAGGCCCCACTGCCTGACTGACAGCGGGTGCTGTCCGCCTTTTCTGCGTGCACTGCCCAGCCTCGCCTCACCTCTTTGCCCTCCTTGTCCGGGGCGAGGAGGTGCCCCGCGGCAGGGCACACGGCGGGGCAGAGGGTGCTGCTAGTGCTTTTATGGCGAGAGTGGCCCTTGCGCGGCGCGGCCTTGGAGGGGCTCAGCAGCTGGGGGTGCAGCTCGCGGTTGGGGGAGGCCGGTGTGGATGTGATGACCAGTGTCTTCAGGGCTGTCACCTCGGCCTGCAGCATGTCGATCTGGCTGGGGCAGCACACGGTCAACCCCAGCCCAGTGCAGGGTCCCCAGTGGAACCTCTGCCATCCCGGCTCAGGACCGCCAGCGCCTAACCCCCCGTTACCCTGGAACTGACTACACCCGCTTTGTAGGGGGAGACTGAGATACCCATTTTACGGATGGGAAACTGAGGGCGCGTGGTGGGCCGGGACTCTTAGGGGCTGGCTGGGCCTCCCAGGGAGGCGTCTCCTGCGGCCTGGAGGGTCCCATTCCCCCCCAAGGGTGTCACCTCAGACACCTCCACCCCCCTTCCCTCGGCCCCGGCCACCCGTGCCAGGTCCCCAGGACGCTTGAGGTTTGGCTTGGGTAGCAGAGGTGGTGATGCCAGGCTGGGTGGGGGGGTGGAAGGGCCTCACCTTGCCCCGAGCCTCCTTCAGCTGCTTTTCTGATGCCGCCTGCTTCATGTTGGCTTCCCGCACCATCTTATGGGCTTCCTGGGAAGAGGCGGGTGCCGTGTGAGTGGCGAGGGGCTGATGGACACTGGGAGGCAATTCCCTGGCCTGGCCCCAGCCACCAAACCTCGAACAGGCTGGCCGTCAGCTCCTCCAGCTCCCGCTCCAGCTGCTCCCGCACCTTGGACAGCCGCTCACACTCCTCATCCTTCAGCTTCAGCTCCTGGGGGTCCGTGAGGCAGGCACGGTCAGCCCCGCGGGGCCCCCAGGGCTGCCTGGCCCCTGCTCGCTCCATTCCCTGGGCACCTCATGAAGGGCCGTGGGTCCTTCCTGGGACGGCCTTTCCATTTAGCGCAGAGCGAGGCCGAAACCTCAGCTGTCAGTCCACGAGGACCTGACTTGTAAAAGTCGCTTAAAAGTCACAAGTACCGGCCTCTTCTCCGTCCCTCCCCCATGCCCAGCAAGGCTGGTATGCAGATGGCCTTGGGGGGCGCATGGTACCCCCAGGCGTCTGGTGCCAGCCCACAGCTCCCACAGCCCCTGTCCCCGTCCCCCTCCCAGCCTGCCCGCCCTCAGCGCCCCACCTTCTGGGCTCTGTGCAGCTCCTCCTTCAGGAACTCCGAGCCCTTCTCCCGGATCTCCATGGACGAGCTGCGCAGGCGCGACTCGTTCAGCCGGGCGGCTGCAGGGCCCTCCTCGCCTTGGGCTTCCTCCCCAACAGACGGCTCCTCCAGGCCTCCCGGGGACTCCCTGAGGTTTTTGCAGGGACCCGCGCTCTTCCAGGGGATGGGGACAGCCTTGAGGGGCGGCAGGTGGCCCTCATCTGGTTGGGGCTGGCTGAGAGGCAAACAGCAGACACAGGGTGAGGTCCTGGGCTCTGGATTGCTGGGCCCAGCGACACCCTTGCCACTCTGGGTCTCAGTCTTCCCATCTGTGAACTAGGGTCACTGCCACAGAAGCTTCACCAGGGCAGAGGAGGGCGCATGAGGGACAAGCACAGGACCCCTCATCTTTGTCAAACACCCCTCTGCCAAGGCCTGGGACTGTACTTGGCACACGGTGGTTGGCACACAGCAGGTGGTTAGCACCTAGCAGCAGGTGCCCCGCACATAGTAGGTGGCACACTGGCTGCGCTTAGGTGCGCGCGGCCTTCTCATTAATGCAAATTTTAGGCCAGTTGGGCACCAGTCCGGGACGACCAGAGAGGAAGGACCCAGCCAGGGCAGAGGCGGGAAGTTTGTGAGCAGCCGCCTGGCAGGCCCGCTTCCTGCCCTGGCCCCGCGGGGAGCAGTCCACACTCCGGGCGCCTCATCACCTCAGGCAAACCGCTCTCTGGGCTTCGGGCCGCCCCTCCCTGAAGCTGAGGGCCCCAGAGGCAGTGTGGGTGGGGCAACAGGCCGGCTCTCACCCCATCCACACTCCCCACGGGGAGGCGGAAGAACTCCAGGCGCCCAGCGGTTGTGCCAAGACAGCACCTCTGGCCTCGCTGACTCAGCCAGAGCTCGGAGCCAGCAGCTTCTGCGCTGGGCTGAGGGCAGGGGGCTGGGCCAGGCCGCTACTGACCTGGGGAAGTGGAAGGGAGGGGCTCTGGGGGCCATCCGTGTGGAGGGGGAAGACCGGGCAGGTGTCCTGCAATACAGGGCTGCTCGGTGTCCCCTCAGGTCACACAAAGGGACTGGGCCCCTGAGGCCCCAGCAGGGTCCACCCCCCGCCCTTCACGTGGCCCTAGGAGTCCAGTTGCCCGTCCTGCGGCCTTTCGCTTTGGAACTGGCCCAGCATGTGGCCCTGAGGGTCCTCAGGTGGGTCCTGGCGGGACGTGGGGCGCTGAGGGACAGAGTGGGAAGCCGCGCGCATCACCCCACGAGTAGTGCTTGTGCAGACAGCGTCTTTGCTGATGCCTTTGTCTTCGAGTTCTCACTGGCAAGGGGTGTCCCTAAAGCTTGGCCATGGGCTGGCCCTGGGCTGGCGTGTGCGTCCAGGGGACACGTGCTGCGCCCTGCCCCTGGGCTGGCGTGTGCGTCCAGGGGACACGTGCTGCCCTGTGCCCTGGTGGTCCCCAGCCTCCAGGGGGGGGGTGGGCTCAGAGAGGTGACGGGAGTCACCGAGCGTCACACGGCTGCTGGGTGGCAGCGCTGGGGCACAGGCTGGGCCAGCTCGGCAGGCCCTGCGGACTGCAGGGGAGGGGGTGGGTCAGCGCGTGTCTCAGAATGGAAGGCTGCTGGCCCCAGGGACTCGGAAGGCTCCTCCTTGGCTGCGGCCAGGAAACCTGACCCGGTTCCAGCTTGAGCTGGCGTCTCAGCCTCTGCTCGGGCCCAGAAACCACCTCCCAAGAGAGAAGGGGTTGGGGGGCTGAGAACACGGGCCAGATCAGGCAGCCCTGGGTCCATGCCCATCACTGACCTGGGGAACAGGAGAGCCTTTGGGGGTGTTACTGAAATTCTCCAAACCTGCTTTCCTATCCAGGAGGTGGGGGTGAGACCCGTCGCTGACTTGGGCACCCGTCAAAAATGTGCCATCTGCAGTCATGTCTGGCGCAAGCCCCGCCACACTGTCAGGCTGCACCCACAGCCGAAACCAAAGCCCCGGGTGGTGCCCCAGTGGCAGTGTGGAGGGTGGTGGTCAGCCCCATGCCCTCCGCGGGGAGACGTGGCCTCCATCACTCAGTCTCGGCAGAAAGAACAGGAACTGCAGTCCGAGGTGGTGGGTGGCCCACGGGGAGCTCTCAGGCCTTGGGCAGGATCTGAGCCACCCTGCGCCTACACTCCCAGCCCCGGGGAGCCGGGAGCCCTCCATCAACCGCTCCCACCACCACTGAGCTTTTTCTACCAGTGAGGCTCCAGGCTAGTGGGCCCACGGAGCCATTAAGCAAGGAGGGAGCACGGAAGTGGGAGGGGGGGGGGGGGAGGGGGCAGGCGGGGCTGCAGCGGTGACCCGTGCCCCCTGCTGGGCCCCCAGGCCCACACTCCAGGCTGGCTGGAGCTGGGCGCTGGTTCTGTTTGCCGGGTCTGGACCCGGCTCTGCGTCAGGACCAGGACACAGGGGTCCAGTTGAGAGCCACACTCGTCTCTAGTAACAGCTAGTGACCACCTCTTCTGCTGCTCCTGAGGGCAGGGGCTGGGGGTGTGGCTGACCACTCTCCAGATTTTCCCAGCAGCCCTCACTTCAGCCCACTGCCAGGGGGATGGGTCCTATTTTGCAGCCAGAGCAAACAGTGGTCCAAGAGGCCTGAGAGTCTCTGACACCCTTCCCCACCCCGGGGGAAAGCTTGAGGCGCAGCTCCCAGAGGCAGCAGCAGGCCCACCTCCATGTCTGGGTCGGGGTGTAGGGAGGGGTGCTCAGGTCTGCAGACCCTGCCCCTTGCAGGTCCAGCTGGCTGTGCTCAGAGAAATGGGGGTCCCGGGCCCCAGTCAGCACCCCCTATTTCCCACACACTAGCTTCCCAATGCTGGGGAGACACGAGCTCATGGCCTGAGCAAGCAAGAGTGACCCCTGAAGTTGTTCCGCACCACATCCCTCCCCTAGCCCACAGGCCTCTGCCAACCCCGCTGCCCTCATCCCGGGCAGAAAGGAGAGTCAGTGTCGGGCACACTGCAGAGATCGCTGGGGTGGGGGGTGGGGGCTGTTCAGGGCCTCCGGGGCCGGACACAGTAAGAGTCAAGGGCAGGGCAGATGCGGCAGCCAACACCCCCTCCCAAAGTCAGTTCCAGAGACTGGAGCCTGGGCAGTCCAGGAAAGGCTCCAGTCACTTCCCCAGGAAACACAAGGGGGGTGCAGCCACGGCAACCCTCACCCCACCAGGCCTGCCCTCCCAGGGCCAGCGGGCTTTGTGCCGTACACAGCCCTGCAGGGTGAGAAGAGGAGGCCTGGATTCCGCACCCCCAGTCGCCCCTGCTGGGCTAGGAGGGTCTGTCAGAGGCCCACCTAGGGTCCTGCGTGGCCCTTGCGGGTCCTGTCCACTCCCAGCCCCAGCTGACCAGCCTGCCATGAGGCCGTTCCTGCCCAATGAGGGCTCCAGGCTAGTGGGCCCACGGAGCCATTAAGCAAGCAGGGAGCACGGAAGTGGGAGCGGGGGAGGGGGGGCAGGCGGGGCTGCAGCGGTGACCCGAGCCCCCTGTTGGGCCCCCAGGCCCACACTCCAGGCTGGCTGGAGCTGGGCGCTGGTTCTGTTTGCCGGGTCTGGACCCGGCTCTGCGTCAGGACCAGGACACAGGGGTCTAGTTGAGAGCCACACTCACGTCCTCCCTGCAGTCCAGTAAGCCCCAGGCCCAGAGGCGTATAGCCAAGTGGCCGTGTCCAGGGGCCAAGGGACTCCTAGGACTCCCTGACCGCCTGCAGCCCAGCCAGTTCGGCCTGCAGCGGGGCCGAGTGCCCAGCTCCAAACCCACGGCTCCCCCACGCCCCATGTGAACCTCGCCGTGACGCCACAGCGAGAGGCTGACCCTAGTCCGGCTTTACAGGCGGGTCAGAGAGGGGAGGTGACCTGGCCAGGAGGCACAGCAAGGAAGCGGCAGGATGGGAACAGACGCAAGAGTCCCAACAACGGCGTGTCATGTGACCTGCCACCGAGTCCAGACAGAGGAAAGGGGTGAATGGCGGTTTCGGAGAAGAGGGCAGGATGCACACGGGGTTTGAGGGGCCATGCTGAGGGCCAGAGGGGGGCTCCACCCAGGTTGCTATACAAGCCAGGCAGCTATGAGGGTGGGGGGGAACCACAGCCTGCTTAGGGGTCAGAAAGAGAATTTCTAGTAATTAACAAACACTTAAGAACCACAGAGAAGGTGAATGAGAGCAGGAGAATGAGACTGTCCGGGAGAGGATGGGGCACCGGGAGGGGGTCTCTCGGGGGGGAGCCCCTGATGGGAAGCAGTGTTGGGAAGCACTGGCTGCAGGACACACCGGGCCAGAGGCACGGCCTGAGCCTGGATGGGGGCTGGGTGGCAGGGAGTTGGGGGCAGCCCGTCCACTTGACGAGCTGAGGAGGTGTGTTCCCAGAAGAGGGGATCGTGTAGCAGGAGGCGGCAGTAGTGTCCTACAGCGGAACAGAATGCCAGGGGATCAGCTCAGCTGGACCCCTGGGGTGGGAGAAGGCAGGAGTGACAGTAGTGGAGCCGGAGGGAAGGTGGACGGCCCCTGGACCTCTGGGCAGGTGCGCCACCTCTCCAAGCTCGCCCCAGACCGGCCCGATGCCCAGCTGCAGTCCAGACCTGTGTAGTGTCCCCGCTGGGAGCCAACACAAGGCCTAAGAGGGTGGGCAGTTCACTCACTGCCCAGGCAGGACAGGTACATAGTACGTGCTGCACATCTGTGTGCACCCTTGAAAAATCTGACTCTTTGAGGCCGGAAACCGTGTGGGCAGCGCCTGTCGTGAGCCAGGCCCCTCTGGAGCCATGCAGATTCCGGTATCGGCATTCCTGAGCCCTCTTTTTCCTACATCCTATGTCATTTTGTCCCCACCCCGCCCTGTGCTTTCCAAGGCCTATGGAAAGCAAAGGGCATAAATCCTGTGCAGATGGGGGAAGTTTCTAGGACCAGCAGGGCTCTGGTGAGGGTCTGAGGTCTGCACACTATGTGCTGATTAAGAAATAGCAGGAAAGATCTGGAGAAGGGGGGCATGGCAGGGGAATAGGGGAGAGCAGTGGCAGTTAGACCAGGGAGGGCTTCCCGGAGGAGGTGCCAGAATTGCTTAATCCCTTCTCAACACCTCCCGACCTGACTCTGGGATCCCCAGGGCAGATGTTGTCTCGGCGCCCATATTCCCCTGTGACTTAGGCACAAGGCAGGAGTTCACAGATCCGAGTCCCTTAGGGTCTTGGCCATGCCCAGCGCAGTGAAGTTACTCCCTCAAGATCACGGTCCGTCTGCAGCCCCAGCATTCCCCTGCGTCCTGAGTGCTGTAAAGACAGTGCCCCATACCTGGGAGGGCGGGTGGTCTCACCTCATTCCTGGGCAGTCCCTCAGAGCCGGGCCCCCCCTAGAGATAGGCATTGCTGGCCCCATCTGCCAGATGGGGAAGCTGAGGCCAAGAGGCCACATTAATGTCACCAGGCTACTTTACTGGCAGACATCAGCCCAGAACCCAAACTAAGGCCTGGGCACCATGCTAGCCTCACCCATCACCTCAGAGCAGGTTGGCACCCAAGACCACGGCTGTGGGACATGCTGGGGGGCGGACAGGGGAGTGGCCTGCCTGGGGAGGCTGCCTGTGTTCAGAACCTCCTACTCGAGGGATCCCAAGGGAAAGGGGGTGCGAGTGGTTCAGCCAGAGCCACCTGGACGGGGACTCGGATGCAGGGTCCTGCCGTGTTGCCGCTGGAGCCGGGCTGAGTTCCTAGGACCCTGGCACACAGCGGGTGCTGGCAGCGTGGTCTCTGGTCTTTCAGTATCCAAGGGAGGGGTCCATCAAAAAGCAGTGTTCAGGGAACCCCCAAACGCTGTCTCTCATTCTGGGGCCCAGCTCCTCATTCTGCCCCCATACTATCCACCTGCACTTATGAAGGCCCTCTGGAGCCCCCACCCCGGGCCCTGGGACCCCCACATAGACAGAGAAGAAGTACTAAGGACCTCTGGGGCATCACTCGGAAAGCGTGTTTCCTCCAGAGGCCCCTGGGAAAGTGGCCCCCAGCCTCGCCCGTCTCGCTGTGGACTGGACGCCTCCAGGGAAGGACACTCCTTCCCGGGCTAGTCACTCCGGATGCTGCCATTGAGGGCCCAGCAAAAACGGGGCCACATTCCCAAGAGTGCAGGAACTCGGAGGCCGTGTTCTACCAGGTGCACCCAACCCGGGCTAGGCAGGTGGCCGCCCTGGGCAGGATGACCCTTGCCTCTCTGGGCACCTGCCCGCCGCAGCCCCTTTCTGGGAGCCCAGCCTCTCCCCACCCCCCCAGGAAACTCCATGACCTCGCAGACACAAGCCCCCATCTTGGCTCCAGGTTTGCTGGATGCCAGGGAATAAAGTGGTTCCGTCTGCATCAGAAGACTCCCCAAGCTGCCAGCCTCCCCACCCCTCACTCTCCAGTGGCAGGGAAGGAGCCCGGTCTGGGGACGCACATCTGGCCCAGGAACAGGGCCACCCCCACTCTGGCCTCATTTCCAGGACCCGGTCCTTCCAGGAGGGGAGGAGAGAGTGTTTGTCCTTCCAGGCTCAGGGGGAGGAGAGAGTGTTTGTCCAACTTAGAAGTCTGCCCTGGCTTCGCTGTCCACGCAGCGCCAGGGGCCACACCAGGGCTACTGGGCGACTGTCCGCAGAGTCCTGCTTTCTCGTCCAGGCTGGGGAGGTCCCCCCCAGCCGCAGGAACCCCGACGGAGGCTCACCGCGGAGACCCAGCCCCATCCCGAAGGCACCGCTTCCAAGCCTTCGTGGCCCTGGGTCCTGCTCTGGGGGACACCCGTCTCCCGCGTTCCCTCCCTCGCCCGTCACTCGCGCTCCCAGGGAGCCTGCGGCGCTGTCAGCGGGACGAC